GAGTGAGATAGAATCACGATTTCCCGAGAAGGATTCCTTGAACTCTTTCGGCCCTGGCGATGGCAATTGCCACCATCTTTGAAAGGCCTGCAGTACCGGTGCACCAGCATGTTTCTACTACCACTGCTAGAGGTTACTTCAGACAACCTTCCCCTTCCTAATTATGCTTTGAACCCGCCATTTTATTGTGTGTTGCTGTTAGCATTACAAGTATTTGTGTACAAGTGCAACAGTGAATCGGCATTGGTCAGGCGGGCTGCTAGTGCCCCTTATTTCTAAAACGAGTCTATTCCAGCTAGGGGGGGGGGCATAATGATGCAGTTTTTTTCAGAAAGAGGAGAAGGGGAACTCGGAGCTGGAGGAAGAGTAGCCAGTCTAGGGAGGTGAAGGCAGAGTCAACCCTGCGTTGCGCAGTTCGCAACGGCACGTTGAGAGATCCTCAACGCACGCTGTATGGGCGGAGACACAGACGGCTCGAGCATGCGAGTGTGAATGTTCGCGCGAGAGAACGTGTCTAATCGGGCGAAACTGCGCAGGGTTGACTCTGGGTGGAGGTGAGAACAGTCACTTGACATGCGCGAAAAGCTGGAATGTTCGAGTTCACCAAGAAACTGCATCATAATGCCCCTTTAACTGGAATAGACTCTCTAAAACATTTGTAATATATTCATCTTAATATCAAAAGTTAGATATAATGTTGTGCAAGATCATAAACATTTTCGACATAGCTAAGAAATTTGGAATTTTTGAAATGAATTAAAGGAATCTTCCGCGGAAAAAGCTCCGCCTCCATTACCACAGAAAAACGATACCCCTTAGGCCCCTAGCCTCATGAGCATAGCAAAAAGAACGGAACATAAGCGTTAGTTTCGATAATACTAATCCTACACACAAGACAAAATGATCACTCTTTCCGTGGAAGATTCCTTTAAGGTATCGTTTTCTGTGGTAATGAGGGCGGAGCTTTTTCCGTGGAAGATTCCTTTAATCCTTTAAGAATCTTAAAAGCTACA